TGATCCCTGTAAACTGGCAGTAGGACATCCTTCGAGGGGTCCCAAATTGGAGAGGGTGCAGGCCAGGCTGAGGAACACACCCTCCCCTGTGCACGAATTTCGTGCACCGGGCCACTAGTATAGATATAGATATAGATATAGATATAGATATAGATATAGATATAGATATAGATATAGATATAGATATAGATATAGATATAGATATAGATATAGATATAGATATAGATATAGATATATATACTAGTGGCCCAGTGCACAAAAATTTGTGCACTCAGCGGAAGGGGGGGTCCCTCAGACCGGCCTGTGCCCTCTCGCAGTCTGGGAACCCTCAGGAGATAACGACCTGCTGGCTTAGGCCCGCTCCCAGGTGGCAGAGGGCAGGCCCAATCCCTAGGTGCAGCCCCTGGTCGGGCTCAGAGCAGGGCTGATTGGGGAGTTGGGGTGCCTTCTCCTGTCATGCACAGAGCAGGGAGGATTGGGAGGTTACGATGCCACCCTCAGTCATGCTCAGGGTAGGGCCCATTGGGGGGTTGGGGCACCGCCCCCTGTCACACTCAAGGCAGGGTCGATGGGGAGGTTGCGGTGCCACCCCCTGTCATGCACAGAGCAGGGCCCATCAGGGAGGTTGGGGCTCCATACCCTGTTATGAACAGAGCAGGGTCAATCAGGGGGTTGGGGAGCTCCCCCCTGTCACTCACAGAGTAGGGCCGATAGGGGAGTTGGGGCACCGCCCCCTGTCACATTCAGGGCAGGGTGGATCAGGGGGTTGGGGCGCCGCCACTGTCACACTCAGGGCAGGGCAGATGGGAAGGTTATGACTCTACCCCATCACACACAGAGCAGGGCCCGTGGTGGGGGGAGGGGTTGGGGCGCCACCCTCTATCACCCACGGAGCAGGGCCGATCAGGTGGTTGGGGCGCCGCCACTGTCACACTCAGGGCAGGGCCAATGGGGAGGTTATGGCTCTACCCCATCACACACAGAGCAGGGCCCATGGTGGGGGGGGGGAGGTTGGGGCGCCGCCTTCTAACACCCACAGAGCAGGACCGATCAGGTGGTTGGGGCGCCGCCACTCTCACACTCAGGGCAGGGCCAATGGGAAGGTTATGGCTCTACCCCATCACACACAGAGCAGGGCCCGTGGGGGGGGAGGGGGGGGCGGGTTGGGGCACCGTCCTCTAACACCCACAGAGCAGGGCCGATCAGGTGGTTGGGGTGCTGCCACTCTCACACTCAGGGCAGGGCCAATGGGGAGGTTATGGCTCTACCCCGTCACACACAGAGCAGGGCCTGTGGAGGGCGGGGGGGTTGGGGCCCCGCCCCCTGTCACACACAGAGCTGCAGGGCGATCAGGGGGTTTGGGCGCTGCCCCCTGTCACGCTGATCCCGGTGCCGGGAGGCCTCTCGGCTCCACTGATCCCGGTCCTGGGAGGCATATTACCCTTTTACTATATAGGATAGAGGCCTGGTGCACGGGTGGGGCTAGCTGGGTTGCCCTGAAGGGTGTCCTGGATCAGGGTGGGGGTCCCCACTGGGGTGCCTGGCCAGCCTGGGTGAGGGGATGATGGCTGTTTGCAGCTGGTCACACACCCTTCAGGGTGGGGGTCCCCACTGGGGTGCCTGGCCAGTCTGGGTGAGGGGCTGAGGGCTGTTTTCAGGCTGGGACTGAAGCTCCCAACTGCTCCTTTTTTTCTTTTTTCTTTTTTATTCTGGGCCAGCTTTAGCTCTGAGGCCTCGCTGCTGAAAACAGGTTTCTGGCCTTTGTTTACCGTCTGTATTTGATACAATGTTGCGGTCCAGCTGGCTGAAGCTCCGCTGAGTAAAGCAGGTTTATGGGTTTTTTTTAGCTTCTTTACTCGCAACATAGTTGCTGAGAGTTGCAGCTGAGAGGCCGGCAAGTCAGGCGGGAACGTTGGAGTCCTCCGTCACTGAAGCAAGCAAGCCTCCCTATTCGCATCAGCTGCCTGGCTGCTGGCCGCCATCTTGGCTGCCAGTTAATTTGCATATCTTGGCCCTACTCTGTGAGTGACAGGGGGATTAGCCAATGGGAAGGGTAGCGGTCGTACGCCAATTACCATGTTTCTCTTTTATTAGTGGAGAGAGAGAGAGAGAGAGAGAGAGAGAGAAGACAAGGAATATTTTTAAAAGGGAGCTCCTTTCAAAGGGATCACAATGTCCTGAAACAAGAGAATCCCCATGCAGTTAAATGTATTATTTGTAGTTCATTGTATATATATTTATACTTAAGTTTATTGCATCATAAACTACATATAATTCATTTCAATAATGCATATTTTGCTTTTTAAAATAACCCTGTTTGTTATCTTCATGACTCTCAAGTTAAAGAATCCCTTGTGGGGAAGAATAGGACTTGTATTTGCTTGCATGTGCCTTTAAGAAGCCTGGAGCCTGGCTGGTGTGTCAACCTATGAATCAGGAATTCATGGTTTGATTTCAGGTCAGGGCACATGCCCAGGTTGTGGACTTGATCCCAGTAGGGGACATGCAGGAGGCAGCAGATCAAAGGTTCTCTCTCATCATCGATGTTTCTATCTCTCCCTTTCCCTTCCTCTCTGAAATCAATATTTTAAAAAATGAAATCTGGAATAATTCACAAGAATATAACAAAAGCAATTGCCTGATAGGGTGTGGAAAAGGGTAGTATAGAGTGGAAACTGGGAAGATGACAGGGTTAAATATGTGACCAATTATCTCTTATATTTGTAATTCTTAGACCCATGTGAACATAATATCCCTAAAAAAATAAGCAAAAAAAAAAAAAAAACAACAAAAGGACTTCCAAAAAAAAAGTAGACAAAAACAACCCGAATAACAACTGAGCTGATCGGTAAGTTCCCAGTTGTAACAATAAAAATTAGAAAATAGTGAAATAAACCTTGACCTCAAAAAAATACCTCCATCAAGAATTTAATACAGATTTAAAATATTTTTCTAAAATAAGGGAATAATAAAGATATTTTCAGGTGATCAAAAATTGAGATTGAACCAGTGAGAGACTTTCACTAAAGTAATATCAGGAGCATATATATCAGAAGGAAAGTTAGCCTCAAATAGATGTCTAAAATGCAAAATGCAAAAAAAATAATTTTAAGAAAATAAAATGATAAACATCATTTATCAGTGTACATAAATGTAAAATAAACTTTACTATATAAAAAATATCGTATAGTCTAAGTTATAGGAGTAAAAAGAGAGAAAACTAAAGTAGAGGGAGGAAAAGAACAAAAATAGAATATAAATCAGTAGGGTGGTCATTTGAGGTACAGTATTCTAATCTTCCCATGTTGCTCAGGATAAGGACAAAGATTTTGAAACATTTAAATTTTGATAAATAAACATGCATTATAACTTATAGTGTAACTACAAACAAAATAGAAAAAGTATATGATTGCTGAAATGGTAGATGGAAAAATATATTAGGAAAAACTGAAATGCAAAATTGTACCTTGGGTTTTATTTTGGACTAATTTTTGTTACGTATTTCTATAGTGTTTTGTTCTATAAATTAGCTTCAAATTACCCTTTCTGTTTGGGATATTAATATTCCAATTGATTATACACAATTCCTTCATTTCTACTATAGTAAATTTTATCTCGTTCTATAAAACATTCCAGACCTAAATCATAATTATTCTGATTCAAGTTCAGAACTACAGTATCACTTTTTATTCATTCATTCACAAATATTTCTCAAGTGGTGATATTTTTAGCACCATCAACTTTGAACACAGTGGTACTGAAGGTAAAAGTACTGATTTGGGCATCAACTCAGGCATCCCAATCTACTACCAGCCTTGTTCAGTTATAGGGAGGCTGGTGGGGCAGAGTGGGTGATTTATTCTGATTTTATATGTTAAAATGTTGAAGTTTAGGAAGAGAAGATGCAAGGTAACTAAACTGTGCCTTTCTAGTGAATATGTTCAGTCAGACTTTGCTATATATTAAGTAATCAAGAATTTATAAACCCCCAAAATTTAAAAATACATATTTAACAACATTTCTAATCCAACATGTCCACCTTCCTGGGCAGTGTGTACTTTTTAAAGAATCTGAATGTGGTAAAAAAAAAAAAATCAACTTAATGTTGTACAGTGGCCAGGTTACTATTAATAATGATGTATGTGAAAAGAATGGTGCTTCTAGATTTTTTTAAAGTATATTTTTTAAAAATATATTTTATTGATTTTTTACAGAAAGGAAGGGAGAGGGATAGAGAGTTAGAAACATCGATGAGAGAGAAACATCGATCAGCTGCCTCCCGAACATCCCCCACTGGGGATGTGCCCGCAACCGAGGTACATGCCCTTGACCGGAATCGAACCTGGGACCCTTGAATCCACAGGCCGACGCTCTATCCACTGAGCCAAACCGGTCATGGCTTAAAGTATATTTGTATTGATTTCAGAGAGGAAGGGAGAAGGAGAAATAGAAACATCAATGATGAGAGAGAATCATTGATCGGCTGCCTCCTGCACACCCCACAATGGGATCAAGTCTACAACCTAGGCATGTGCCCCTGACTGGAATCGAACCTGAGAACCTTCAGTCCGAAGGCTGACACTCTATCCACTGAGCCAAACCAGCCAGGGCTGCTTCTAGATTTTTTAATGACATAAAATCTATATCCTTTCACTCTGAAGAAGAGGAAGCTAAGTCCTGACTGATTTAGGGATAGAAGAATATAGGTAAATGTCCCCATAGTAAATTATGTCCCGTAGCCCACAGGAGACGGTGAGTGGGCTTACCACGGACAGTTCCCCAGATCCCGAGCCATCTCATTTACAAGTTGAAGCCCTCTCTCGCCAAAAGCAGTTTTACTTGACTCTCCAAGGAATCTTTTTAATGCACTGGTTTTAGAATCCAAAACATTTCCACCAAAGGAACCACAGGAAGTCCTGTGTACTCTGACAATGGCATAGTAACCTCCCTTAACCCCTGTTCTCCATGTTATAAACTAAACAAAACAGAGCGTCACTCACACTCTCCTCTGGCCTCCCCAAGCTGCTCTCTGAGGTACCTGCAGAGGAGGTCACCCCTGGATATGGGATTCTGAGGGCAGCACCTAATGGAAAAAGAAAAACATGTGCATGAATCCAGTCCCTGACCAAGTCCGAACCCATATTAGGAAATAAGGAATTGACCTCTAAACCATTTCCATAAGTCATTTGCTTTTTCACTTTGGAAATTCTGTGCATTCTAACCTTAAGACATATTTGCATAGAGTCTTCCCAGGATAAGAAATTATTATGATTCATTCATTCATTCAACAAGCATTTACTGAACACCTAGTACATGTCAGGCTCTATGCAAGATGCTATGGATTCAGACAAAGTCCCTGTCCTTGAAGAGCTCTCTAGGAAAGGGGACAGACACTGAAGGAAGTGATACTACCACAGAGGAAGGTGGGTGAAGGTTGGAGACTAAGCATGAATTGATCACTGTTGAAGCTGGGCCTTGTGCTATCCTAATTTTTGTGTATGTTTGAAATTTCCAATAAAGAGAAGCTTTTAAAAAATTAACAAAGAAAGGAACTATCAATTGACAGGAAATAGAGAGGCCAGAGGAACATGTTAAAGTACATGGCAGAATGCAGCCAGAAAACTCCTTACTCTGGGAAACTCTACAGGACAAATGACAAATTCTGGGCCCAGGAATGTCCTCCCTGTTGCATGAGCAGTGGTTAGAGTGTTTGCCTTACAGTAATTCTTTAGGTCGTACATTTGTTTTAAGCAGTTTTCTGATTTGTATCATACTCGATAACTAAAGGTTTGTAAGTACCCACAACATAATGCCATGAAATAAATGTTTTAATTACTTTTTCTTGAGGCTCTTGAACAACATATATATATAGAGAGAGAAACAGTATTTTTTAAATGTGAGCTGAAAAATGTTTGCTTGCAAGATTGTATTAAACCACAAATAATTTTCAAAGAAAAGTAAGTAAAGGCACAAAAGCATACCTTCCAATGTTGAGGTATCACCAACAGGAACTAGAGATGACAACTCAGGGCTAGGGGGAAAAAATGTTTGGGGTTAATAAAATGATAGAAATGTGAGGGCTTATGTGGTGCTTTCTTTTCCCAAAAAGGAATTAGCTATATTTCCTTTTTTAAATTTTTAATTGATTTTTAGAGAGAGAAACATCAATTGACTGCCTCCTGCACAAGTCTGCACACACCTCACTTTGCCCCCGCTGGGGATCGAGCCCCTACTGGGGGATTGAGCCCGCAACCCACACTGGGCAGATCAGGAATTCATTAGATTTTCAAACAAGGATTCCAAATCAAAGTACTGAATAACAAGTTTTTTTAAAAATAGTCTTCATGCCCTACTAACCAGTTTGGCTCAGTGGATAGAGCATCAGCCTGTGGACTCAGGGGTCCCAGGTTCGATTCCGGTCAAGGGCATGTACCTTGGTTGCGGGCACATCCCCAGTGGGGTGTGTGCAGGAGGCAGCTGATCGATGTTTCTCTCTCATCGATGTTTCTAACTCTCTATCCCTCTCCCTTCCTCTCTGTAAAAAAATCAATAAAATATATTTTTTTAAAAATAGTCTTCATAATTTATTAATTTTCTATTTATTGATTCCTACTCAATTAGAATCATGCTATACAAAGTACTCACCCACTTATTATATCATCCCTCTTCCATTTTATTTCTTCTCAGTTTTTATCACTATGTGAAAGTATTTTGTTCATTTATTATCTACTAGAGGCCTGGTGCATGAATTCATGCACTGGTGGGGTCCAGCCAGCCCGCCCTGATGCAGGCAATTGGGGGCAGGCTGGCTGGGGTGAGGGGCCATGGGCAGGGCTGGGCGGTATGAAGGGCCAGGGGGGGCAGTTTGCTGGCCTACCCCACCCCTGATCAGGGTAGGGGTACCCACTTAGGGGTGGGGCCAGGCAGGGCGAGGAGCCGCAGGCATTCTGGTCGTTCTGCCATTCGGTCAATTGTCATATTACCCTTTTATTATATAGGATTTCTTTATTTCTGTCTCCAATCCCTTAATCTTCTAGGATGGCATTGTCTAATATGGTAGTTACTGGACATACGTGGCAATTTAAATTAACTAAAACTGAATAAAGTTTAAAATTCAGTTCCTCATTCACACTAATCACATTTCAAGTGCTCAATAGTCCCATGTGGTTAATGGCTGCACATTGGACAGCACAGTACAGAGCATTTCCATCACCACAGGGAAAGAACTGCCTTAAGGATCTAAACTCCTTGAGATCAAGGACTTTACCTGCCATGTTCTTGCTGTATCTCCAGCCTAAATAGTATCTGCTATTTAGTAGACATGAAATAGATTTTTTAATATATTTTTATTGATTTCGGAGAGGAAAGGAGAGGGAGAGAGAGATAGAAATATCAAAGATGAGAGAGAATCATTAATTGGCTGCCTCCTGCAAGCCGCACACTGGGGATCAAGCCCGCAACCTGGACATGTGCCCCAACCGGGAATCGAACCATGACCTTCTGGTTCATAGGTCAATGCTCAACCATTGAGCCACGCCAGCTGGGCTTAAATAGATCTTTTTGAATGAATAAATAAATACTATTGGCAAAACAGTGTAGGAGGCATGCGTCATATAGTTGTTAACAAAACACCCATGGTCTATGAAAGTTACAGTCTTCTAGAAAACAGATACCAAATAAATGATTATAAATACAATTAGTACAGATTGAAAAGTACTAACTTCTAAGGGGAACATATAAGCACAACTTTCATCTCATTTGAGAGATCATAGAAATCTTAAAATCACTTTCTCTAAAGAAAGTCGAGCTTGGAGAAATGGCTGCTGTAGGCCACACTGCTAGTAGGCTTTAGGTCTCCCAGCTGTCCTTCAACCACACAACTGAAAGCAGAGATCCCCACTCTGAAGGAAAGAAAGTAGGTTTTTGCAAGTCCAAATTTATATACTCAAAAAATATAAAAATTAAATTACAGTAATTTGGGGAAGTTTTAGAACTTTAAAGTTTGTGTGTATGTTCTAAGGTAATGGGCTATTTCATTACCCTTTTTCGAAGGAGCTGGATGGTGATAACACCAATTTTCAATTCATAGCAATTGAAAACTCTATTCAACTTTACACAAGTCAGCCTCCTAAGACAATTCAATCACAGTCAAAAATGTTTCCCTCACAGACTTGCCAATATGCCATGAGTCCCATCTTTAGAACAACTCCTTTGGATTGCCCTGCTGCTCCAAATTAGCTTATTGGAGGGAGGGGACTCAAAGCCACCACATAAACATGGCACACATCTTCAGGCATCCATTTTACTTGATGCATAGGCAGTTGGAGAGCTAAGTAACAACTGATAAATAATTTAAAATATTTTAATATTTTTTAAATGTGGCTATAGTATGGATTATATAAAGTTTAAATAAATATTAAGATAAAACATGATCATTCAAAGGCATTTCATGCCTGGAACTGGAGTGGAGAGTCAACAAGGGCTATAATCCCTAAACTTTCAGGCTTCAGTAGAAAATTTGAGAAACACAGATTAAAACAAAGCAAAACAACAACAACAAAAAGCATGATTCTTCTGGCTTTTAAAAATACTATCTAAAAAAATAATATTTTAAACTATTACACCCAACCTATCACTATCAGTTATTCATAGTGCATTTGTAGGACAATGCTTACTAAGTGAGCTGTCATCTAGAAGGATCTAAAGCAGTGGTTCTCAACCTTCTGGCCCTTTAAGTACAGTTCCTCATGTTGTGACTCAACCATAAAATTATTTTCGTTGCTACTTCATAACTGTAATATTGCTACTGTTATAAATCGTAATGTAAATATCTGATATGCAGGGTGGTCTTAGGCGACCCCTGTGAAAGGGTCGTTCGACCGCCAAAGGGGTCGCGACCCACAGGTTGAGAACCGATGATCTAAAGGAATATGACATCTGGATAAGTCATTATGATGTGTGATGAGCTGAGTAAACATCAAGAAGCTCCTTTATTTTTTTTCTTTCTTTTTATTGATTTCAGAGAGAAGATGGAAGAGGGAGAGAGAGATAGAAACATCAATGATGAAAATCGTCAGCCTCTTGCATGCCCCCTACTTGGGATCGAGCCCACAACCCAAGCATGTGCCCAGACTGAGTACTCCTGGTTCATAAGTTGACGCTCAACCACTGAGCCACACTACTGGGCAAAAGGCTTTTTGCACTCATATTGGTGTGGTTCAGTTGGTTGGGTGTCATCCTGTGTATTAAAAGGTTCCCGGTTTGCTTTCGAGTCAGGGTACATGCCGGGTTGTGGGCTCAATCCCCAGTAGGGGACATGCAGTAGGCAGCCAATTGATGTTTCACTTTAACATTGATGTTTTTCTCTCCCTTTTCTTTCCTCTCTCTCTAAAAATCAATAAAAAAAATTTTTTTAAAGAGTCTTCTTGGGTTACAGGATGTAGAGCTAAAAAAAAAAAATGAGATTCAGATGCATTTGAAACAAACATTAACATAATTAGTTCTGAATAGGGTCTATCCATTGTCCACAAGGCAGAACCCTTCCCATACCCTCACCTGATACATGAAAAAATGAGGTCCATATGGGTAAAGCCATTTTCCCAGGGTCACCAAATAATGCAATATAACCCAAAGTCACACCTAAACTTTCTAACTGTATCCAGTTCCCTTTTCAACAATAATAACAGCAAGAATGATTACAACTAAATTTCCTAAGCCCTCATTACAGGTCAAGCACTGTGCTAAGTAGTTTATCTTAGTTAACTCGCAACAATCTTAAGAGGAAGATATTAGTATCCCCATTTATACAGATGAGGAAACTAATGCTAGAAGTGGTTAAGAATTTGCTCAGGTGACAAAGTTGGCCAGGGGAAGAGCTGTAATGTAAAATAGACCCATTTGGTTCCAGAAACCTCACTCTTACCCACCTTAATTCCTTACAACACGGCCTTCACGTGGCCCGTATTCTCTAGAAGGGCACCCAACATGGTTTCACCTTATCTTAACGTCAGTGGCCTACCTAAACTAAACAACCTAAAATAAATAAATAAATAAAAAACAACAAAAATAGATAAACTAAACAACCTAAAAGTCAAAGAGTATATATGGCCCCAGAAAAAGGAAGGTAAACCCAGTCAGAGCTGGAGAGCCATAAGCCACCGGGTATAAAGAACAAAGAGGTCAAAGTAAGGCAAAGCAGCCAAAGCACAGCACAGTAATTAGAACAGGAAGTTGGGATGACAACAGTGAAATCAGACCTCACCTGGAGTTGGGCAAATTGTCCCCCACATCAAAATCAGATTTATGCTAATTCTCTACGTAAGCAATCCGATGGAGAAGTGTGCTTACTTCAGAAAAATTACTGAATTCAAAATAACATTACTTTAATGATAAGTAAACAACGCTCCATAATTGAAATTATCTGCCTAACACTCCAACACTAATCCCTCCCCCTCCCCCTCTGTTTTCAAAAGACAGTAAAGAACGCTTAACAACAAGAACCCTTTCACACGTTCTCATCAGGCAGGCCTCCTGAAGGGATCGGCTGAGGTGTCACTTACAACAGAACTAGAACACAGAGTCATGTTGAGTTTGGAGACAGAAATGCTTCTTCATTTCCAAGCCAAACCACAAATTTGAAGTTGTTCAGTTAAGACCTTTAGTTTAATACCAACAGCAAACAACCCCCTGTGGTCTCATTTCCTCAGCTCATCCAGCACATCATTTATTCCTCGCTGCTGCTGCCTAATCATGTCAGTGGAATTCAGGTGGGATTATGTCAGAAAATATCACAGCCACATGGAACAGAAGTGTAAAAATGTAGTGAAACAAGCCAAGCATAATCTCCTGTCTAGATGACTACTCCCCCTGACAGTTTTCTATACTTTGCTTTGTTCTTAAATCTGTTCATTGTAATCAGCATGTGACAACAGAACTCAAGGCACCGAGCCAGAAATCCTGGGTGCTGGTCCCAGATGTATAATTAACTTTGTGCATGACTTGGAAAAATACCTCAGTTGCTCTGAGACTCATCTCCAAAACAGAACCACCTTCCTGCCCTACCTATTTCACAAAGGTATTGATGAAAACTAAATAAAATATCATGTGCAGAGCATTACAAAAAGTACTAAGTGCTAAACCAATATAGGAGAAAACGGGTTACTGAAGCAGTGACATGTGTCATCCCACACAGAATAAAACATTTGCTTAAAAAAAATGTATATTTGCCTTTGTGATCTATGATAGGCATTCTCAACTACAAATGTAAGTAATTGAGATACTCCCCACCCCCCACCCCCCGACACACACACACACCCAACAACAACAAAAAATCCCAAAGAACAGTCCTTACACTGAGAGGTCTGATAATGAACTTGGGTGATTGGGTAGAAATTCAGTAATTCATTTAACAAATATTTAATGAGCACGTGCCCTAAACTGAGCTTTATACTGGTTATTGAGGATATGGTAAGACCCTATAGCAGGGTTAAGCAGCGACTGGAGCCACGTGGAGCTGCCTTCAAAATGTCTAGTTGAAAGACCTTGTATGCAAATATGCATAACCCATGGACACAGACAATAGGGCGGTGAAGGCCTGGAGGAGGGGAGCAGGCTGGAGGGGGTCAAAGAGGGGAAAAAGTGGACATATATAATACTTTCAATAATAGAGATTTATTTTTTTTTAAAGATGTCTGGTTGTAACGGAGACAAGAGCTGGAGGGAAGGCCATTTGTAAAATAGGTCACGTGGCAGAGCCTTGAGCATGTTTAAATACTAATGGGGACGAGTTAATAATGGGAAAGTTGAAGACTCGGGAGAAAGAGAGAAACAATGACAGGCAGAGATTTCTAAGAGGTAAGATGGGTGTGAAGTCCTGAGTATGGTGGGAAATGCTTTTTTTTTTTTTTTTTTTTTTTTTTTTTTGCTTTTTTAAAGATACTTTGGCAGATGACAGTAGGGAAAGCTTAAAACAACACATTGCAGCCCAGCCAGTATGGCTCAGTGATTGAGTGTTGACCTCTGAACCAGGAGGTCCTGGTTCGATTCTGATCATAGGGGAGTGCAAGAGGCAGAAGGCAGCCAATCAATGATTCTCTCTCATCATTGATGTTTCTATCTCTCCTCCCTTCCTCTCTGAAATCAATAAAAATATACATGAAAACCTCAATACTTCTTCAGGTTAAGAGCCATATTTAGTCAGTATTTAAGAACTTCTTAGCCATATAAGATCTATAAAATATGCTATCATTTTTATCAGGTACAACCATGAAGATTACTGGCACTGGCAGGACTCACCAGACTATTTAGCCCCCGCCTGTGTGTTGCAATGGCAATCACAAGAAGCTCTGAGCTCTGCCTTTTGGCCATGAAGAGTCCACACTCAGGAAACCACATGGTCCACATCTGAGTAGGGGCTCAGTCTCAGGCCCCAGCATAGACTCAGTAATAACATTAGCTGTACTAATAAGTGGGACCACAAAGAGTCCTACTTCCCTCCTCTTTACTCATGTTTGATTTGAAACATATGTGTACCACACTACTACTCACATGTACACCCCAGCCGTGCTTTCGCCAGGACTCTGCTGTCAAGACTGGATCTCTGGACACTGACTCACCGACGTGGTTTTTCCAATGTCCTTCCCTTTCATTGGAGGCAAATTTCTGGACTCTGACCTGGATTGTATGCCCTAGCGGTGCTTTGCTAAATACTCACCCATATGCTGGCATAATCTAGATATTCTGAGTATGGAGAGAATTGGAAATCTTTAGCCCCACTAGGCTCAAAATCTCTCACTTTCCATGACCTATTTTTCCTGCTACTGCTCAGGAGCCAGAAATGGCCTTAACCCTAAACCTAAAGACCAATGAAGCCAAGATTCATAACACTAGAGGAGTCATCAAGGTTGTGCTATTCCGATACTTCAAAATCATTATCATTATTCCCCAGTAAAGTGATCCACACCACCACCCATCCTTTAATAAACTATCCTACACTAAGGTGCACCATTTCAGGGCAATTTTATCACTAGCCTGAAAGGCTCAACAACAGTAGGTCATTCCATATTTCATTTCCAGAAATCTATTTTTTCACCCAAGAGACACAACAAGTCTGCCTCCTGGTAAGGTCAGACAGCAAACAAGAGCAGTGGCTGTGGTGGTGGTCTGGGAAGGGGAGTGGCCTCCAATGAGGAAAAGCATTTGGGACTTACCCACAGGCCTGGTCATTGCAAGAACTGGTAAGAAAATAGAGAGTGGCCATTAAATTTGGGGTGAGTCTTGGAGTAAGTATGATACACCTCTGTTGCCAAACATTAACTTAGGGGGGGAAAAAGACACTTACCGGCTAACAGTTTCCTTCGTGTACGCCAGTTTCTAAGAAAAACAAAGATGAAAAAGAAAAGCCTAAGTAAGTTAATGACAGTTAATAAGCTGTAAATAAAAGCTTTGGCATAGAGAATCTAATGCCTTAACATTGTAGAATCTATGTTATTATTCTCATTGATTAGACAAATAGGTGAAGCAAGGTACTACTGATGCCAAGTTTGTTTGTGACAGAACGCCCCTACGTGCAGTCTGTTTATGTGCCCAGAAGTTCCTGTGCTCTCCACTCGTGGACAGAAATTAACAGCCTTTACCTGCTGCTCATTCCCAAAATGTCTATAAATCAGAGATTGGTGGAGTTTTACCTTAACCTTCCATGGACTTAGAATCAAAGAATTTTGTGATCTAACATATGTATAGTAACTCTCATCCTAGAACAATATGAACATGTAGATAAAATAACTGGTAAATCTGCTTCTCCAGAATTCAAACAAAAAGACAAATTCTATCAATTATAGAATTATGTCTCTATTGCATTCCAAAGCAAATTGTCTCCAAACTTCCTCTAAGTTAGTGGTTTTGTTTTGAGACCAATATGATAAAAAAAAAAAACACCAGTAACTTGAGTCAGAAAACCTAGTTTCAAGTCCCATAGAGGCAAATCTGGTGTTAGACCTCAATTTCCTCATCTGCAAAATGGGGAGACTATTACTCTAACTCTTATAAATTACTCACTGCTCTTCTTACTCTACAGATTCTCCTAGAATAATCTCAGCCACTCTCATGGTTTTAATTACCACCTCAAAGCTGGTGATTCCTTCAGCTATATTTATAACCCTGACCACTCTCCCTGTCTTCATACCTACATATCAAGTAATTCATATTTCACAGATGGCTCAGATCAACACATTTGAGAGTGGACTCATTCTCCCTCCACCCACCATCTACAAAGTTGCTTCCCTGCCTGAGTTCTCGTTCAATCATCCAAGCTAGAAACTGGGAGGCTTCTTGGACCACTGCTTCATCCTCTCCCTTTCTCACCAACCCATGACTTTAATCCAAACAAAACTAGACATGACTAATCTTGTTTCCCACATGTCTCTCGTGCTTCCTTTATCTCAAGGTCGAGTTAGGACCCACGTCCCCTCGGGCCTGGGGCACTGAAGCAGCGTCCAACCTCTATTCCGTCCTATAGTATATAGAAACTATAATGGCCTTTTTTAAAATGGAAAACTGTCAAATCAGCCTCTGTGACTCACCTACTTAAAACCCTTCAATAGTTTCCTATTATCTAGAGAGTTAAATACAAACTTGTAAGTTATCCAATTTTCCAGTCTGATCTCCTGTCACTTCTGATATATTGGCCCAAGTCCTTCTCTACAAACACTTGGCCCATGTTGTCCTCTCTGCCTAGAATGTCCATTCCAAACTCCTTCTCATTTAGCTGATTTGTACTTGTTATTTAAGATGCCACCTAGGGAACACATTTTCCCCCTTGGTCTGCATGTTCTACTAAATAATTATTGAAAGTATATTTCCCATGTCTTTAAAACTAAACTTACAAAAATTTCCACTTATAAGAGACACTTTCTGATTGTGGATCCTGAAAAACAAGATAGCAACTAAAAAGTGCTCCTGGTGGCTAATTGGACTCAAATTTTAAAATATATACTAGTATAGAGAGAGAGCCCAGCAGCCATTTCTACACAGGGCCTCTCATGCAAACTGCACTTCAGGCAGAAGCCTGCACTGAACTGCCTGCCTTCACTGTGTTTCTGCCATCTGAGCCAGGAGTTCCTGAAATCCTATTTCAACCAGTAGGACTGAAGCTTTCCCCATCCAATCAGAGCTCTGCAGCTATATCCGCCCCCCCACCCCATCAGCTTCTTTGCCAACCAATCAGGACAGTGCCTTTTGGGCCAATCAAACTGCAAGGATTTGCATGAGGACAGATCAATAGGGACCAAGGACCAGGGGTGGGGACTTCTGTCTAAATAAGTCAGCTCCCCTCTGGCTCTGGGAGCACACTTTTCCTTTCCACTGAAGAGTGCATTTCCCAGGCTGAGCTGAAACACTGAAGATCTCTTGCTGGAGCAGACTAGGGAGGAGCAGAGCAGAGCTGTCTCATCAGAGAGGGGTCTGACCACAGGGCCACCTGGCCCCAAAGCAGTCTCACAGCCATACTGTTTTCACAGCCTTGCTCTATCACAGTTGAGCTGTTTTACACTGAATAAAGTTTCCTTCTTCACTGCACCCCTAATTTTGGATTCCTATTGGCGTTGAATTGGCACCAACGTAACATCACAAGAGGCTGTTGTTATGGTAATAACTCTACATCACAAATGTTTGCTGCTCTATCAGTTGATCCTTATCAGGAACACAATGAGAGATGGACAATGCTGGTGTGTGTGTGTGTGTGTGTTCTTGAATACCTATTCCATATTAGCCTCTGAAATGTGTAAAACTGATAATGACTGAAAGGAGGGCCCAATGGTTTAAGGAAAAGAACATGGATTTCAGAAGAGAACTGGGTCTGGATTTCAGCTCCAGCCCATCTGGCTTTGTGATATAGGCTAAGGAATTTAATAACTCTCAGAGATTTATGTTCTTAGCCTAAATCTTTGCTGAGTACTATTTTAAATATTTACATTTATAAACAATGCTGAGACTTTTACTGAATTAACAATGTTTATTATAATGGCCAGAGCTAGAGCTACAAAGACTAGGCCATGCCCCATGGCAGCTCACTAAAATAGCCTAATGCAACAAATCAGAGTGGATGCAGGGATTTGCCACCTGTTCTCTCTTTCTTTAGGCCCTAGCTATATATCTAACCCCTACAATAGTCCAGCAATTCCTTCCCTTTTTACTATACTTACCTTCATAATTAAGCTTCTATGTTCCACAGACTGACTAAAATTTGTGCCCATTTCAAATATAGTTGTGATTCCATCCTCACATAAATTCATCCAGTAACGATATTCCTCATGCCCAGGAAATCGATCCCAAAAAGTCCTAAAGGCTTCCCAGACAGCTTCTTGACACACTGAAAAACAGATGGACGGGCGTTTTAACAAAAAGTTGATGCACTTTGGGGGTCTCACAATGATCATGGGCCTGTTTGTTTAGATTCCTGAGACACTTGCCCACAGTGTCCTTTTTGGAAGGACATGGGAATGATTCCCAGTCAACGCCCTACTGTTTCTGCATGTCCTGCTTTAACTTTTCAGCTCTGAAGAGAATTTTTATTCCCCATACTTTTCCCTTGAAAAGGGGATTGGTTCACCTCCAAATATGCAGGGTGTGTGTTTTTCCATCTCTTAAAAAAAACCATGTTTTAGTTTTACAAAAGTGGAGCTGATATTGAGCATACCTCAATAAGTAAATGGATAAACAAATTGTGGTACATCCATATGATGAAATATTATTCAGCAATAAGAAGAAATGAGCTTTCAAGCCATGAAATGACATGGATAAGACTTAACTACTTATTGCTAAGTGAAAGAAGCCAATCTGAATGTATGATTCCAACTATATGACATTCTGGAAAAGGCAGAACTATGGAAATTGTAAATAGATTAGCAGTTGTCAGGGCTTAGGATTAAGGAAAGATGACTAGATAGAGCACAGAGGGATTTTTAGGGCAGTAAAATATTTTGAATAATGATGTAATAGTGAATACATATCATTAGACATATGTCAAAACCCACATAATGTACAGCACAAAGAGTGAACCCTAATGTAAATTACACACTTTAGTTAAGAATAATGTGTCAACATGGAAGCTATGTAGCATGTTATTAAACATGAATGGGTTACCAAATAGACTAAGGAAGAAATAAAAAACACCCTGGAAACAAATAAAAATAAACACTCAAAAACCCAAAATCTATGGGACACAGAGAAATCAGTCCTGAGAGGGAAGTTCATAGCATTACAGGCCTACCTCAAAAACAAAAAAACTTTGAATAAGCTATCTAACCCTACAACTTAAAGAATTAGAAAGAGAACAACAAGAAAAGTCCAAAGTAGAAGGAAGGAAATAATAAATATCAGAGCTGAAATAAATGACATAGAGACTAAAAATAATAATAATAATAATAAGATCAATAAAACCTCCAAGACCTGGTTCTTTGAAAAGATAAACAAGATTGATGAACCTCTAGCCAGACTCATCAACAAAAAAGAAAGAGTACCCAAATAAACAAAATCAGAAATGAAAGAGGTGAAGTCACAACTGACCCCACAGAAATACAAACAATCATGTAAAAAAAATACTATGAATGACTATATTTCAATAAACTATACAACCTGGACATATTCTTAAAAAATGCAATCTTCCAAAACTAAATCAGGAAGATTCAGAAAACTGAATAGGCTGGTAACTACAAAAGCCCTGGTCTGAATGGCTTCACAGGGTAGTTTTCCCAAACATTCAAAGGAAAACTAACACCCATCCCCCTCAAACTATTCCAAAAAATGAAAAAGGAAGAAACACGTCTAAGTTCTTTTTATGAGGCCAATATTACCCTAATTCCAAAATTAGATAAAGACATTACAAAGAAAGAGAATTACAGGCCAATATCCCTGATGAACACAGATGCTAAAATCCTCAACAAAATATTTGCAAATCACATCCAGCAATATATTAAAGAGATCATACACCATGACCAAGTGGGATTATTCCAGGAAAGCAAGGCTGGTACAATATTCACAAATCAATAAATGTGATACATCATATAAACAGATTGCAAGACAAAAATCAGATGATCATTTTAATTGATGCAGAAAAGGCATTAGACAAAATCCAACACACTTTTTTGATAAAAACTCTCAGTAAAGTGGGAATGGAGGGATCATACCTCAACCTAATAAAGGCCATATCTGACAAGTCTACAGCCAACATCATACTCAATGGGCAAAAACTAAATCCATTTCCCCTAAGAACATGAACAAGATAGGGATGTTTGCTTTCACCACTTATTCAGCATACTACTGGAAGTCCTAGCCATACCAATCAGACAAGAAAACATAAAGGACATCCACATTTTAAAGGAGGAAGTGAAACTGTCATTATTTGCAGATGACATAATATTGTACATAGAAAACTGCCAGGGCTGACCGGCAGACCGTGAGTGATGGATGAATGATTTTTTTGATGTATGTTTCTGTGAAAGAGAGGGCTAAGGGACTACCTGGCTAAAGGAATCAGAGAGGCCCATTTGCCTGTCTTCTTAGCCATTTATTGTAGCAACAGCTAGAACTAAAATTAACTATTAGATACTATTAGCAGGGTAAGTATCCTTGAAAAAATACATGTATTTGTAGTGTCTTTTTTAAAAGGACGTTTAAAGAATAAACATAAAGATTCCAGCAAAATATTCAGAGGATCAGACTTGTTTGAAAAAGTCAAGGCAGGGTCTGCCGCCTTTGGCAAGGTCCCCCTGGGGGCCTCTGACCTTTTGGAGAATTTTCCTTATAGACTTTCCAACCAAGTCCCGTGCTTCCCCACAGAAAACCCTAAAGACTCCATCAAAAAAAATACTAGATTTAATAAATGTTTGGCAATGTAGCAAGATACAAAATTAATACCCAGAAATGAATGACTTTTTATACACCAATAATGAATTCTCAGAAAGAGAAACAAAACCCCATTTATAATACCATTGCAACAACAACAAAAAATTAAGATACTTAGGAATAAACTTAACAAGGAGGTAAAAGACCTTTATTTGGAAAACTAGAGGGCATTGAAAAAAGAGATAGAGGAAGATATAAACAAGCAGAAGAATATACCGCATTCATGGATTGGTAGAATCAACATCATTAAAATGTCCATGCTACCGAAAGCAATATATAGATTCAATGCAATCCCTATTAAAATACCAACAACATATTTCACAGATCTAGAACAAACACTACAAAAATGTATATGGAACCAAAAAAGACCCAAATAGCCATAGCAATCTTGAGAAAGAACAAAGTTGGAGAAATCACAATACCAGATATCAAGTTATACTACAAAGCCACTGGAATCAAAACAGCCTGATACTGGCACAAGGACAGGCATATAGATCAATGGAACAGAACAGAAAACCCAGAAATCTACCCAAGCAATTATGTTCAATTAATATTTGACAAAGGAGGCAAGAGCATACAATGGAGTCAAGGCAGTCTCTTCAATAAATGATGTTGGGAAAACTGGACCAAAAAAATGAAGCTAGACCACCAACTTACATCGTATACAAGAATAAATTCAAAATGGATAAAAGACTTAAATGTAAGTCTAGAAACCATAAAAATCTTAGAAGAAGCCATAAGCAGCAGCAAAATCTCACACACATCTCTTGTAGCAATATGTTTATGGATACATCTCCTAAGGCAGGGGTGGGCAACCCCTGGCACGCGTGCCAAACATGGCACACCAGTAACTTTTGCTGGCACGGGAAACCCTCTCTTATAATCTTCCATTTACAATTTTTTTCTTAATATCTACTTTTTTATTTTTCAGATAAATTCAGTGTAGGTGCATCTTACATAAATAAATAATTTTACATAACAAGTTATCTTAAGGACCATAGACATGGATGGATGAGAGAGGGGAAGAGCAATTTCTACGCCTCTGCCTTAACTCTCCCTGCCTTCCTAGATCTGACCAATGTTTTGGTTTCATCCACATACGCTTGTGAATCTTTGTTCTCAGTGATGAATTTTGTTAAGTCTCATAACAGGAGTAGCCTGACGGATGAAAGTAGTTCTCTGAAAGTCACGAAATAAAAACCTGATGTAAAATCTGTCATCAGTGATGCAGCAGCAAAAGTCCCACTGATAATATCAAACGGAGTCATAAAGTTTTCTGTTGGACTATCAGTGTACATGTATACATTAAAAAATAAATGTATTTTTCATCATCATATACTGTGTTTTTGTCGCTCAAATGAATTTTATCATTTCTTCAAGGTTCTTCACATATGTACACCTTAAGAGATATCAAGTAGGCGTAACATGTTCTCAAAAAATTAGGGTTAGCACGCAGAAGAATTTTGAGTCAGAGATTTTGCTGGTTTTGGCATGCACTCACAAAAAGGTTGCCCACCCCTGTCCTGGGGCAAAGGAAACTAAGGAGAAAATAAACAAATGGGGCTACATCAAAATAAAAAGCTTCTGCACAGCAAAAGAAACCAACAAAATGAAAAGAGATCCCACTACATGGGAGAACTTATTTGCTAATGATACATCTGATAAGGGGTTAATATCTAAAATTTATAGGGAACTCATACAGCTTAACAAAAGGAAGACAAATAATCCAATTTAAAAATGGACACTTCTGCAAAGTGGACATACATAAGGCCAAGAGACATATGAAAAAATGCTCAAAATCACTAATCATCCATGAATTGCAAATTATAACAACAATGATGTATCACCTCACACCTGTCAGAATGACTATCATCAACAAATCAACAAATGACAAGTGCTGGTGAGTATGCAGAGAAAAGGGAACCCTAGTATACGGTTGGTGGGAATGCAGACTGATGCAGCCAGTATGGAAAACAGTATGGGGTTTCCTCAAAAAATCAAACATGGAACTGCCATTTGACCCAGTGATCCCACTTCTAGGAATATATCCTAGGAAACCCAAAACACCAATCAGAAAGAATAAATGCACCCCTATGTTCATAGAAGCATGATTTAAATAGCTAAGATCTGGAAACAGCCCAAGTACCCATCAGTAGATGAGTAGATAAAAAAGCTCTGGTACATTTACACCATGGAATACTATGCAGCAGTAAAAGATAAGGATATCTTACCCTTTGAGACAGCATAGAGGGGCCTGGAGAATATTATGCTAAGTGAAATAAGTCAGTCAGAGAAAGATAAGTATCACATGATCTCACTCATATGTGAAATCTAATGAATAAAATAAACTGATGAACAAAATAGATCCAGGGACATTGTTGGGGGAACAATAGCAGTATAAGTAACTCTCTGGACTTTATACTTAATTTTTCTGTACTCCAAAAACTTTCCTAAAAAATAAAATCT